CTCATGAGCGGCACCTCCTGACTTTGTTCCTTTGCAGACTGAAGAGCATGAAGGCTTCTTCTGTGGCTTGAAAGACGTGTGAAGGTTCAGGTTTTAAACCTCAAATCCTGTTTTTACTTCAGAAGTTGATTGCACAAGCAGACAGTGAATGAGTGTCTCTCCATTTCCCCTGCGGTCAGAGAAGATCCTATTCATACTGAGTTTACAAGCAAACACTTCCTTTGGTGAGCTTCCCGTCCAACTCAATTCATGTGTGTGCCACCAAGCTCTGTCTCTGGGCCTGAACTAACATCAGAACAAGTGAGTGAGGCAGGCTCTCCCCTCAGCCCCCCGCAGCACCTTCTGCAGCACTGTGAAGAGATGAAGCATGCTGTGCTTTCTGCACGTTGCTGCAGTCCTCCCAAGTCGCTGAGACTGCTGACACACCAAGGAGCTAAGCACACACACGGGTATCGCTGCACGCGGACACGCATCCCAGAATTTCACTTGCTTAACGATCAATCTAATGTTTTTACTTACAGTTACTGGCTGGCAGCCTAGAAGCCGCTGGCACCTGGACACCTCTGAGTACTGCTGTGACCACGTCGTGTGTTTGAAATAATATGTATTAGCAGTAAGTACTTTATGACCAGAAAAAAAATCATTATTTAGGGAAGACTTGGCATTTGCAGTCAGTACGCGTCTGTACTTGTAGTGAGGAACCAGCAGCTCAAGGCTTTGGCTTTAGAAAGAGAAAGGAAGACCTGTGCTTGGGATATTGAAACAGTTTCCACTCTGGGAAGCCCCTTTCCGAGGTGTGTCATCTTTGCTGTGTAACAGAGCACTATACATTATGGAAATGTTCAGATAATAGACCACACAGTATTTCAGGATTGTGCAGATTTTTAGGGAAGGTGGAGATTAACATTCACTTCAAACAGCAGTGGAAGTTAATCGAGTTGCACAGTGAATTCTAAACTAGTTTTGGCCACGATACTAGAGCTGTTCTTGAGAAAAACGTCACGAGGTACTTGTGACCACAGGTAGGTAAGACCTTTGTCATCAGCCACTCATGGGGAAACGTGAGTACATCCAAGAGGACATTGTCTAAAATAAGGCAGTGTGCTGGCCTTGGCCGTTGAGTCATCGGTATCACTTCCTGCAGCCCCTGCTTGTGCTCTGGGTATTTCTCAAGGGAGCCCTGACTTAGCCTAGTCTTTCTGATTCTTCTAGAATGAATAAGATTACAGCTCTGGAGCAGTAATGATGAGTATGTCCTTGATTCAGAGGAATGTGTGCTCCTTTTAGCACAAGTGTGCTAAATCTTCCATGAGATGCCTGCCTGATTAGTTTTTATCTTTACACATCATGGCTCCACTGATTTGAAAACTTCAGAGTCTCTAGTTGTAAAATGGAGAATTCTGCTTCACAGGGAGAATCTGCTCAAGTGACAGAGCTGTGTTAATGGCTCATGCCTCAGGGTACCACTGAAAGCTGCTGCACATGGATCTCTCTTGCCTCTTCTTTATTTTAATGTTTTATTAGACATTCCTTTAATCACTCAAAATACTATGTGGAAATTCTGTTCTGTGGCAGAAACAGATTCTCACCAGGTTTCAGCGACAGACCCTTCTCATCTACATTAAGGTTTGCTCTATTTGTAAAGCACCCCTTATGGAAAAGAAAAAAAAAAAAACCACCTCACCTCTGAGTTTCTTTCCTTAAATATCGTTGCAAAATTTCTGACGTCAAACAATGAGACACAAATTACCCTGTGAACTGTTAACATATGCCTGTTTACATATGATATCTTATAGCCAAAAGAGATTAAGATTTGAAGGTTTAACTGCTGTTGAGTTTCCACTTCTGTGAATCATACAGATCAGCTTATTCATCACAGCCACTTTTATTCTTTAAGTCTCTCAGGCTATGGGGGACATGGGACACATGGGAACACAGAGGTCACAACTGCATAACAAACCCTAAAGTTTGCAAATGAAAGAGCAAAGAGCTGCCAGCAAGCACAGCCACCCCAGTGAATCACTAGCGGTTTTTAACTTCCATCAGGTCAGTTGACAGGCACAGAAGCCTTCCCCAACTGCCAAGGCAAGTCTGTCCTTCCACTTAGTAAAGTGCCAGCTGCAATTCATGCTGACGAGTAAGCCTGTAATCTTTCAATTTCAAAAGGATATTACTTGTAAGGACCAACAACAAGAGAAAACCAGTCATGAAAAATCAGTAGGATGGCTCAAAAGCCAGGCTCAGATAAAAATTTAAAAAATAATTAAATGTAGGAGGATTCCTTGGATGTTATGATATAGTTTCTATTCATAAATGCCAAACATTTTAGGGAGAACTTTACTGATTTCAGTAAATACAGGCACTTTTCTCTAGCAGTTGAATCTATGTGGTGCATCACGGATTTTGATGGGATCCAAGTACTCCTGTCAGCAATCCTGACATAAGGGAATGAGTATTTGTCTTTTTCGGGATAATATGGCTGTGGCTACACTTGAAAAGAGGCTTCTGATGATAAAAGAAAGAAACCTAACTCTATTTAAATAATACACATGAATCTTCACCTCATATGTGACTGTTAGTAAAGCTAAGCAGGATTTCCAGAATTGAGGCTGTGCCTGCACTTGCTGTTCAGGCTCTCTGATTCACTGATGCTGCCTGGCTGAGGCCAGCACAGGAACATCATGTAATCTGACACAGGAACATTCAAAAATACCTTTCCACTTAGAGTGGCAATAAGTAAGTGCTTGACGATTTGCTCTCTTCATTTAAAGTGTTGCTTCAGATTTGTTTGGTTTTTACTCCCAGCTGCATCATCTTAAGCAGGATGTTCGTGCTATTACCTGTGGATTAGCTAACACTGAGAGAGTTGAGTGCAGCTTCCCCTAGGGCCACCAGCACTGCTCTGGGTCAAGCCGCTCTCTTTATGGTATGACAACAAGGTGTAGCCAAGCCAGCAATCTCCTTACAACATCACTCACTGAACACGAGGGTAACGACCATATCAGGAACTGGAGCCATCTCAGGGTATACTGGTAGCAAACCAAACCTGCTGCCACCAGTTTGTTGGTACAAATTAATCTGGGTGTAATTTAGCATTTATAATGTTATGTGTTACTGGAAGGCACACTCAAGCATCCAGACGCCTACACAAAATAAATGTGAGGTGCGACACAGTGGCCATGTAAAATGTATGTACATCTTTGCATCTGAAAACCGGGGAGACTGGTTACCCCTAGGGATTGAATTAGATTCATGAGGACAACACTAATGCGCCTCTGTCAGAAGCTGCAGAGATTAACCAATGCAAGTTTCTGTTTCTGAGTGTACTGCTTATAGATGGGGTAGATTTAACCACAACCTTAAAGATGCAACAAAAAGCTATGAAGAGTTAGGAGTTAGGACATTTCACCCACACTTGTTTTTCTGTTGTTGTTTTTGGTTTGTTTTTTGGTTTTGGGGGTTTTTTTTTGGACAAATTACATCCTCCCTTGTGGTATTTAACTGAAAATTTGTGACCCATCCTAAAAACTTTAGGTTTGATACCTGGGATGTCTTAAAAGGGACCCGGGTTTTACATGCAGAAATACAAATACATACTGTTCAACCACCTGCCAGTCTCTTTCAGGTATTTCAGCTGGGCTTCCACAGTCAGAACCACTTGGGATCACTGCTGAGTTTTGTAGAGATAGACCTTTGGGGTTAGACCACGCTATGAAAATTATCCAGCTAATTCCCATGAATTGTTTTGAACACAAAAGCTCACTGCAAATAATAATGGTTTGGTTCCTTTTTTTAGCTATGAAATCAGTCTGCAGATTAATATTGTTCAATTACAAAATAATAATTTCAGCCTGAAGCGGTTTGCGCTCTTAAGTGCAATTTGAGTTAATAATGGTCTACAAAAGGAAAGTTGTTAGCAAACAGTAACCCACAGGGAAAAGCTTAGAGTTTAGGTGCCTCAGCTACATTTTTCACTAAATGTCAGACTCTAAATTCAGAAAAATGACCTAGGAAAATACCATCTAACCCACTAAGGATCGTAAAGCTCAAATTAGCCTATATTTTCTGCTTCATATATGACAAGAAATAATTGCCATCTGACTGCTGAGGCAGCTCCTTTTACTATGGCTACTTCTAATTCATATAGGTAGTGCCTTATCTGCTAGATGTGTCCAGATCAATTTAGGTAACAAGTACAGAGTGTCACAAAGTTTCAGGCTTTTTTGCATCTATGCCCAAATGCATAGATACATGAAGTTTATATAAAATGAGATTAGCCGCTTTTCAGTCCAAGGCATATGGTTACAATGTATTTGTATTACCTACAAATTAGTTATTGGAATACATTTGTAAATAATTGTTGTCCTCTAAGCTACGCTATAAGCGTAAAGCCCTCTGGGACCTCCGAAGGTAAAAAACCTGAAACAAAAGCTTCTGAATCTCAAAAGACAAGCCTAAGTTTGGGCACAGTGTTCAGAAATTATAAGAACGAGGCCAAGACCCTCAAAGCTGAGTGGCAATTTTGTGTATCCACATGCAAGGTATTGATGTGCAGCACTTCCTCCATATTAAAATTTCCTGAGGTTTGCAGTATAACACAGACATACTCCCAAGCAGGGTAAATCCTTGGTCAGAGTGCCCTACTCCGAGTATTCCCAGCAGTTACAGGGGGAGTAACAGACTATCTGCAATACTGAGCAAAGCACTTGCTATTACACACCAGCAGAATCTGCATCTCCAACATGCTGAAAAATTAGCACACCGACAAGAAAATTTAAATGCTGCAAAACACGTTTTATTCATCAAATGAAACCTTTTAGAATTTCAGGATGGTTAAAAAAAACCCTCAAACAAGTTAAACTGGAACGCCTCATATTTGGCAGTTTAAAAAATGCTTTCAGTTACAGCTGAGACCTTCAACTCTGCCTATAAATGAAACACTTTAAGTAACAATCAGTTACACAACCTACTTACAATCAGCAGCTTATCTCACAAGACCTCTAAGAAATGTTCATTGTGGCAGCAGCATATCCAGCTGACTTCTCCAGTGTTGACCAGCTTTGTTTATTCTGACTGTCAATCGCTCTTTTAAACGCTTCATCTGGCAGAAGATCTGCTTGTTTTACATCAGCATGGCTACAGCCAATTTTAGGGCATCTGTTAAAAAGAAAAGAGAGACTCCATTAAATCAGAAGAATTGTATTTGTCAGATATAGGTTTTTACATAACATCTGCTAGTTTATTGTATTTATTTGGGATTCACTTTCTCTGTCAGTTCCTTGTTACCTCTTTTCCTCTTCATCAGCTCTCGGTAGGGAAAAATAAATCATTTATCTAAACTGGTGGGAATCAACAGCTGGAGGAATCACAGCGACAGACGGAGCCTCTCACCTGTAGATCACTCTCTTGCTTCATGTCCACAAGGTGCCTACATCAGTAATGGCACTAGCACTGCATGGACATCTTTCCGTGTTGCTTTCTCCCTTTGCAGGCAACTACCTCTTACCTTATTAATCTGCAGTAGAAAAGTAGAATCTTCACTGATAGGGAAATAGATAAGAGTAAGACTTCCAAGGCTGACTGGTTAATCAGTGGACTACCTAGCTGATGTAAAAATCTACCTGGCCTTTTATGAACTGAGAAAGAACAGCAAGGAGAGACGGGGTCAAATTAACAGCCTCTCAACGATAATCAAATACAAAATGTCTTACAACGATTTAAAACAGCCAGATAAAGACAGCAGAGTGAAAGATACTTGGGGACCCATGGTCATTTTCCTTTGGCAGTGGCCCAAACATGCACAGATGGTACCCACAGTCAGAAATAACACTTTTCCTGAATTTTTCCTTTATAAGGAGTAACTTTTGTCTGAGGTGCTGAACTTATTTACAGTTAGTACTCATAGCTTTTACTCCAGATTTGTCCAGAGCTTACCGTGTTTGTCATGGACAAGTCACTTGATTGCTCTGTGCCTCAGTTTTCCCATTTATCACCTTACTAGAGCAATAGCTTGCTAGATTAATGAATAACAAGTGCTCAGAAAGCTTCCCACGTTTCCTGTAAGCATAAGGTATTAGTATGTCCTTCCAGGCAGTGGAAAATAGTGAGCAAACCAAAACACGTAAGAGTTGCCTACAGGAGCCTCTGGTGAGTGTAGCAGCACAAAACTGGTGGCTGCGTGTTCGTCAGCTGGGGAGCTGACATTCAGCCAGTGCACTGCCAAGTGCTCTGCCAAGTGCACCGAAGGGCTCCCGTGGATTCAAACTGGAAAGTATGTGTGATGAAACAGCCACTTATGTAACTGCAGAGTGAGCAACAGCTTGGATTTCAGAGTCAGGATGGAGAGGATTCCCCCAAGCAGGACTCTGCTCTATCAAGACACCTGCTTCCACTTGAATACCGCTGGCGGGAGCGCAGTCAAGTAGCAACTCCATGTGAACGGGGCACTCAGATGGGGAACTTGTGGCATCAGCTGGCCTCTCTTCCCACCACAGCAGACTATGGGTTTTCAAAACTAACTGCATTTTCGTGAGAAAGGTTAAAATTACAGCAGGTTAGTGAAACTGGGCAGAGAAAACCAAACACCCTTTTTTAACTTAGTAACAGAGAAGCCGAGTTATTACTGTGCTTGTGCTTTCCTAGCTTACTGGAATAACAACTGTAAAAATTGTAGGGTTGCAAGCTAAAAGCTCAAAATTAAGAACCGCCAGGATTCAGACTGCACAAGTAACTCCAGCTTGGGTACAAGATAGCTTTTAAAACCAAATATTGCACAGCTTACATTATTTTCTTTTTACTCTATATTTTCTTTAAATCTTTAATTACTTAAAAGATAAAATAAAAATTCAATCCTGTGACCCTATTAGTTTTTCATCAGTGCTGAAACTTGATCTACCACAACAGTCTCTACTACCATGTCACTTTCCTGATGGATTTAACAACACAGAGAGTTACTTAGATATGAACATCCTAAATTCAATTCCGTATTGCAGAAGGTACTTTTGTTGTGGTTTTGGGCTGTTGAGCACATGCTTCCTAGTCCGTCTCTATCCTCCTAAACACTCACTTTCTTCTTTCTAACTTGTGAGCTATTTCCCAACTCCCATTCATTTTTCCAGGCAAGTCTCTGTCCACCCATGTTGCTGGGTTTGTTGTTATTCCCAGTATATTGCACCCACAACACTTTTTCTCCCTAGACCTCATAACACAGGCAAAGTACTTCTGTCTTATTCTTCAAGCTGTCCTGATACTAAGGTAGTGGCTGTACACCCCAGTCAATGCCTGATTTCACAGCAGTGTTTTGCTGTAGCCAGGAAGGAGTGTGGCATAAAAAATTCTGCTCCACCTCTGGGTCCCCATGGCAGAGTATGTAAAGTCTAACAGAAATGCAAGAGCAACAGATGGAGGAAGTAAGTTGCCTGTGGCATTTTATTTGGGGAAATCAGGTTGCCAGAATCTGATAGACCTTCCTGAGCATGTGCAAACTACGCATTTATTAAAAATGTCCACAACTATTAAGTTTCCATGAGGCAAATCAACCCCAAAGCATGAGGCTCTAGCATACATGGTATAAAAACAAATGTGAAATTAATGATGAAACGTTACTTCCTCTAAACTTGCTCCAAAAAGTGTTTGAGCCCTTTTTGTTCTGTCTTTTTTTTTTTGTAATCAAAACCATTCTAAATTAGAAACTTATTGGAGAGAATTTCAGGTTTAAAAATTCAACTGTTACATCTTTTCATTTAAAAAAAAAATACGTTCTGTGTGGAAAGTGGCAGGCTGCTTTGATAATATAAAGTAAGAAATATTTAATTGCATTTTAGTAGGAACTGCACAATCCTATCTGATCATTCTTAAAGATCTGTCTGATTATTCCTGAACTCTGTACTGCCTAAAAAGCTGTGGTTTAATATTTCTCACTTGTATTGGAATATAACAGCAAAAGAGGGTGCACAAGGAGACTTTTTTTCATTAACTTCAGGGTTTGCTAAAGAAGCAGTGGGAACAAAATGAGCAACTAACTTTTAGGAAGCTGAAGTTTCTCTTTGTTATCCATGGCTATAAGAAATCTCTTTGCTTCTCTTGTGCAGGTACCACGAGTAGCTGTAACTTCCATGCACGCTTCCTGAATATTCCTTCCACATTGTTTTCATTAAAAAGAAAAGCTCCTTCACGTGTACGGTACTAATGAGGAGACTGAGACTAGGGCAGACGGAGGCATTACTTCCTGCAGCCTTGCCAATCCAAATACATTTCCTAGAACAAGTGGAGTAAAATTCCACTTCGACAGCAAAGCCAGCAGCACTCCCACCCGTCCCTGCTACCTTACCGCACTTTCTTCCTCTGCTGCTTCCGGTTCTCGATAATTCTTAGAATGGCATCTTCTTCATAAATGTGTCCGCAGACTTTGTTTCGAACTGGCCTCTTCATTTCCATCTGCAATGAATAAGGTTTGAGTTTGGATTAACAAATGCAATGAATAAGGTTTGATTTTTGATTAAAACAGCAGGAAGTGTGTCTGCCATTCATACACGGCATTCCACTCAAATTCCAGGGTCAGGTCCTGCATGGTAAACTGCATCCCTGCTTACGTGGGGTTTTCTTCCCAAGCAGTACTGCTCTTCTCTGATCATGCTTGTAATTTATTACTGCCTGATTTTTAACAAGTATTGCAGATTCATAATAAACAACCCAATGAAGAATCTGAAATAACTATTTCCCAATCGAGTATAGCAGTAGTGACAGCATACCTGTGTAATGGGACAAATAAAGTTCATCTGACTCTGAGTCACAGCTATATCTTCATCGATTTCTTCAATGTCCTCATTATTATTATCTGATTGATGACGAACTATAATAGGAAACAAGACAATTTCATTTAATATTTAGTATAGATAGCCAATACTTAAAATAAGCAGATATAACCCAGCACTTGCCAAGCATTATCTCACAGTGATATCTAAGATGCCACCACATATTTCTGTGCCTGGAAAAGATAGTGCAAAAAGTACTGTACTATAGTCTCTGTTAGAAAATGTGGATTTTTCAATGATAACCACTTTTTTGGTGTGTGTATTTGTGGCTACCTATAGCCAATGCTAGAAAGGAGGGCTGGGAAGGAAAGCAAGCTGGACTGAATGTATGCAACGCTTTTGGTATTCTCTGTTCAAGCTCACCAAAAACCCAGGAATGTGCCAATGAGTCCCCAAGATCTAAAAAAGGATGAAGTGGAGCTTTTGAATATTTGGCAGCCCTACCCTCAAGATGAGTTTATATTTGAACGTCAAAAGGGCTTGTGATATAGCCTGTACACACAGTACAGACTTCACAAGGAGTTTGTACTATTTAACATAATGCATCACTTGTAAAGTGGTGCTGCTGTATTTCAAAAAGGATTGTAATTAGTGGAAAACAAAAGCCAAGAAAGTGTTATTTGAGATGGACAATAGAAATGCTACTGAAGTAGACTTAAGGAGGGGGGACAGAATGAACTATGGAAATCTCCCAGCAAACACCTGATGGCCCAGTGCCAGGGAATGAAGGGCAGACAAGCAAGAAGTAATCCACCTTGAGCTAGAGAAGCTGCAGGTCCCCACCTTTAGCAGAAGAAGAAGGCAAGGTGTAAGCAACTCTGTGTACACAGGGGCATGCCAGCCCATGGTTCCATGCAGAAGCTAATTAGCCAGAGCCAAAAACTAAGACACAGAGGCAGCTAAGGAGGTTATATGTTGCTAAGTACAACCTTAATAAATGTGTACATGTTGTTTTATCTTAACTTTGCTCTGTTTTTTTGAATCTAGGCTTTTAGTTGAATGCATTTGTTTATCTTTAAATCTTATCTAGTAATAACAGCAAACTTAACAACTGCCATAACTTTCCATTCCTTTGGGGTGGTTCTGCCATGGTTTTGCAGCAGTGCCCTGGGGTGTAGTCCTCAAGGTGTCCCAAGCTGAACAAAACATATTTCTCCCTAGTGGCACAAACTGGTTTGCAACGTAGCAACACAGGGTTTGGAGAGGATTACATCCTTCAGTGGCCTGTGTTGGCTTTGACTGCCAAGGGGGCAGTGAGAAATACAACTGAACGGAGGGTTTAGAGTTCATGATTTGCCTTCTTTGAAGTCTCAGCCCTGTTTCCCTTTGCTGCTGTTGCACACTATCAGCAAATCTTTGCATCTTTGCATCTCTGGTATTCAGACTTCCGCACCTGTTAAGGACCAGTGCTTCCTAATTTCTGGTCAGTCCTGCATGCCTGGAGAACACCATCACCTTCCAGATGATAACAGCAGACATCGCTCTTGGAGAAATCACAATCTCTCACGCCCAGTCTGGACTGAGCACGCTGCCATGTGAGGAGGCAGCACATCTCAGCTTGAGGGACTCTTGGCATCGGTGTTGATGGCATTGGTGTTGATGGCATCAGTGTTGATGCCATCAGTCCACCACAGCACCTCTCAGTATGCCAGTTTTATTTGCATATTTTTCCTTCCTCCTTAACAGAGCTTGCCCTTCTCTCCATTTCAATATACCAAGAGTTTTCCAAGCACTCGAGAATGTTTCTGACCCAGGTACTCCTGCAAATACTTAGGCAACATGCAGGCAAGCATCAGTGGTATGTCTATTTCTGTTACTTAAGGCCTCATTCAATCAATAGGGTGTGGGTTCTGGGGGTAAAGGAGCTCAATTGTTCAATTTTAATAATTTTAAGGCTTTCATCTCCAAGAATATTAATACACCTTTACTAGATATTAATCTTCTAACAAAAGTAAACACTTGCAAATCAGAAGGAAAAAGTGGGCAAAATTTAACTGTAAATACTGAAACTGCAATGGTATAAATATCAGAAAAAGACTTGCATCAGTTATCAGTTTTCAGAAAAAAAATACCTTGTCACCTATTATTCTTAGACTGCTCATATATAAGGTTTATTCTATCATAAACTCATGGTATTTTGAAGGAAATATAACTTTGGGGGAAAAAAAGTGGAGTTTTTAAAGGAAATGTTTTACATACAAAGCAATGGCTGAAATCCCACTGAGACATCAAGGCTAAATAATATTGCAAATATTGGCAGATGCCAGCTTTTGCATGGGCTGCTTTACTTAAATATCATACAGAATTTTTCCTACCAGTAATGCCAACAAAGAACAAGAGTCAGAATTTCCTTAAACTCATGTATCTGCAAAATTTGACATACTGCAGCTCTGGTAGGTTGAAAACATCTGGAAACTCACAGTTTTCTATGTTGTACTTTGCTTCAACTCATGAATTTGGCATGTAGTTCCACTGCACCAGTGTATCACATCAGTGAGTGAGGTTAGAATGTAGCAGAACCAGCAAGCTCTAGGACAGGCTATTGTTTACAAAGGATCAGTTTTGTTGGTATCAATACGCAGATGCCAAGGAAGACAGGTAAAGTTTTAAAACTTGGGACTTGTGCCTGTGATTTTACTGTTAAAGCTCAGCACTCCAAGTTAGGTGAGTAAGTGGCTGCTTCTACCTTCTGACTTTGCTAAGGAGTCACCACTTCACTCATCACTTCTGTGTGTGCTTACTTAGGTACAGGCACAGGAATTTAGGAGACTGTGTTGAAGCACCAAGTTTGAAAGGATGAGCTCAAGCTTGTGTACTGGTGCCTGAGTCTCCACAGAAGGCCTTAGGTCTCTAAATTATGTGACCTAAATCACTGGCTGGGTTTACCTCTTTCTTGTATTGGCTTTGGAAGTGATTTAGATGCCTCATGTTTAATGATTGAAATTCCACTAGTTGAGACCCACTCCTTGTAGGTGGGATATATTAATTTTCTTATATTCAAATCATCCTCTTGCTGCAAGCTTATCATAAACACTTCAGGTTGCACTTCATTTGCAAGGATTTTGTATACAGTGTACCAGACTGGGGCCCTATTTTCAAGAGGTTATCACAGCACAAATAAATATTTAAAATACTTCCTTTTCATAAGTAGCCAGTATTTTTAATAATAAATATGCAAGACTGGGATGATGCAAGTCATATCTCAGATATGTCAATAGCAAATTAACATAAATCAGATAAATAACCCACAGATTTGTTATTATTGCTTGATGTTCTAGATTACAGGAGGAGAGAGGCAAATAAATTTTTTCAATTATAGTAAATTTTGCAGACATTACACAATACAGACACACATCCTGCAATGGTCAGTAAGATGTTCTAAACCTGTAAACTCACATTAGAAGATGTTTTTATTACGGTCACAGGGAATTTTTTTTACCAATTGAAATGTATAAAAGTTTAGAGGATCTAACTTGCAAGTCTGACTGTTCTATAGAAAGAAGAAATAAAAACAGTGGGTCACACATATTTCAGCTAAGACAGGTTACGTTTTTGTAAAATTGAGTTTTCCTTGCAAATTAAAAACAGATGCAGAAAACACTAAGTCATTGTTCCTAAAATTCAGACGCTGCCTTAAGTAACAGAAGTACATCCATCTATTTTGGTAGTCTGAGAGATTACATTCTAAGAGCCTTAAGAGTTTCTAGTTTTCCATTCCAGCCAATTGAAACTTGTTATGAGTATTAGTAACACATTTTCTATCAGGCTACCTCAGCAATGATGTTTACAGCTAATTAGTGCCCACTGTTGTAATAAAACGGCATTCTCATAAAGGTGTCTATTTTTAGTAACACATCATAATGAATTTTGCAACTGCCAACCATTTTTTACTTATTCAATTTTAATTAAAAGTTGGTAGTACTTTATATCTCTATTACTTTCATCTCTTGATAAAAATGTGACTAATATGCCTTAGCTCAGTTTTCACCTACTCTGCCGAGAGAGAGAGAACTTTTAAGCCAGCTTTTATAGTTCAGGGAACCATAGTGCAGAGACATTAACTGCCATATTGTGAACTACATCAAGCATGGATAGTATACATATTAAAAAAGCATCAGAGGAAAGATCCTCTCTGTTGTCATTGCCACTTCTATGACAGAGAGGCTGCTGTCTGCTTACTGCTTCCAGCACCAACAACATCCTCAACCCAGCTCCTGTTTCTCTAATCTAGCCTTGAGTGAGTACATGTTGCAATGTAAATTTAATTGATTTCTTTCCTTTTGTGCTGTGCTGTTCTACTTTCTCACCTGCCATCAGCCAGACACTAATCAAAGGGTAATGTTAAGCATGCAGGATTGAGTCTTTGTGTGCCTGAGCCACTAGACAAGGTCTTGGCTCCCAAAAGGGTCTGTTGTACTGCTGACTCTACAGAAATAACAGCAACTCATCCAGGCTGGGAAAAAGCCTATCTCTGACAGTTCCAAGGAAAACACAAATGTTATTGAGGGCAAGTCAAATGCCAAGTGCTCCTGCCAGCAGGACGCAGACAAGAAGGAAAGGTGGGGGAGCTGAAGGACATCATGACATCCAAGAGCTGTAGTGTAAGAGCTGGAGTCTGGGGCAGTGCTAGCATGGTGTGAGGAAGGTCCAAGGACAAGTCTAAAGGATGGAATGAGCCCGAACACTGCTTTCCACAAAACACACTGCTGAGACCACCATGGCAAATGCTTAAGAGTGGATCTGAATTTGGGTTAGACTTCAGATCCAGAGAAGCAGAGCAGAAGAACCATCCAGTCTCCTGCCCCTGGGATCGATCTGCAGTAAATGCTGTAGGAGGAGTGAAAGAAAAGGGGAAGCACGGAGTAATACCTTCCTGGCAAACTTTCCCAGTCTCTAGCATTTTGTGGCCAAGGACTTCCTGAGTCAGAGGTAATATCTTTATACTTAATAAGCTCTGGAGTTTTCTTCCAATGAATTTGTCTAAACTTGGAGAGGGGAATTTGGGCCTGGACTTTTCAGCTTGATTAGAGACAGTTAT